CGGAGTCCCTGGCTGGTAGTGGTTAATGGTTGTTTACTCAAGAAAGCAGTGCTTAGCTAAATTGAGATACGTGTGCATGTAAAACTTGAAACCAGGGTAAATTCTGCTCTGAATTAGGTACCACAGTGATAAACATGCCGGCATGTGTGTGCATGCATACATGTACATGTACATGTGTGCATGTGCTAACTGCACCCAGTATCACAAACATATTTTTTTGGTGACAAATTGAGGTAAAATTTACAAAAGAACACAATTCCTGTACACACATGTACATGTACGATGTTCATTAAAATTCTCAATCAAATTCCCAAGAAACAACACCTCATGTACTGTACATGTACCAGTCCCATTCATGTCATTCATTCGTCCAAACACTTTTGTCCATGTACCCCTACACTCTACCAGGACATACATGTACAATGTCAAATCAAAGTGAGGCTCGTTGTCGGTCTTGAAGTCATGCACTCTGTGCGTAGTCATGTCACAAGGTTTGGGTTTAAAAATGAACTCTGATGAAGCCCTTCAAGCCTTAATCGGTGTTCATTCCTCTTTGCCATTGGCCAGACCTGTGACTGAATAAGTTGTGTCAACTGAGACAGGACTCTGGTTATACCGCTCAGCTTCCTGTCAAGCAGTCTCTGGTGAAAGACTGAGTAAAGTTTGACTCAGCATACGTGGACATGTAACTACCGATACATTATTGACTGTACAGTGTACACTCAAACCGCAGTGTGTCAAAAAGGCAATCCAAACAGGCCCCGAAGGGTGGACTGGTTTGTTTTGCCGTAATTATGTGAATTCATTCGTTACTATTAAGGCCGTGGCCCTATGTATAATTGACAATCGGAAGTACGGGAGACATTTTTCAATATTTTGTACTCACCTCTCAGCTATGTACATGTACATGTACATGTACATGGACGGTGTACATGTACATGGACGGTGTACATGTACATGGACGGTGTACATGTACATGGACGGTGTACATGTACCTTAATCACTCAGGCCTGTTACTCCAATTTCTCAGCCCCTATTGCCTATTACTCATTGGTATGCTTCATTGTAATTAAGTGATCAATACAGTTTTAGTTGGATTGGGTTTTATTACCTTCCAGCAAAAATAAAATGACAGTAATTTAAATACAAAAATGCTATGAACAAGACGTTATACACACAAATCAGGTAATACCAGGGATAGCCCATGAAAGTTTTGCAACTTATTTCCAGTGGGGTCCCTATTATTGCACTGAAACCAATTGTAAAAATTCAGGAAAAAGAACAATCAGAACAAAAACGAACTGACGACAAGGAAACCAAAATATGACAACAGCGACTGCGACGACGACGACAATGAAAACAACAAGAAAAACATGACAACGGCACAGGAAGATCGCAGCAATCTGCTCCTTCCCCCGCAATGGAGGTTTGTGGAGCTGATTGCCCCCAAATGACAATTTTCTGATCTCTACATTTATGACTTTTTACCAAGTGGGGGGGTGTTGTTCTTGGAGAGATAAATTGGGCCAGCTTGATTGGCCTGAAATTTCTAAATCTATTAACAGAGAGCTTACGTACATGTACATGGATTTATGGTACGTGTACATGTACATGCCGCTCTCACTGATAAAAGTGGAACATGGATCAGTTCAAACAATTATTATTACAAGGAATGTACGTGAACAGCATGTTTATAGAATTTATGCCGGCCAGTATTAAACCATGCATGTAGCAGCAGAGTACATATACATGTACATGTTGTAAATGTACACCAGTACATGTACATATACATGTGTACATGATACTGGTACAACTTCGTACATGTATGTATATGTTCACATGTACATGATATGGTATCAATCCTCATGTTATGTACTACCTGGTACATTAATGTTGACAGCATCCTGTAAGGTTTACTTAGCTGTACTGGCAGCCATCAGTCAATCCAATAGCAATATACTAGTAGCAGCTAGGCGATGTTCCCAGGGCTTCCTTAATTTCATTAGGGATTTTAATCGTTTAGGAACATGCCATGTGGCACTCGGGCTCAATGTGAGCATCCTCATGTAATGTACTCAGGCTGGGGAATTGTCGTTAATCCGCCCCCGTGCACGCCTGAGAGTAATTGCGCGCCGCGATCGGCTTGCTTTAATTCGAGTGGACTCATATGGCCCATGCTTCTCTCTGCTCCACCTGCCAGTGGAGTTAATGGATTGGATGCATGACTGTTCTAGTCAATTCAAGAAGTACATGTACCCATACATGTAAGAGGAACCCAATTTGTTGGGACCAGCTCCGGCATACACTTTTGTATTCCCAGTAATATGACAGGCTTTCAGTTCTTTCCTGTTTAAAATTCTGAGCACATGCTGCCTACCGTACCCTTACTTCTAAGATGCCTAAAGAGTCTCGCATAACAAATGTATTCTGTGCACTATGTACACAGGGTAAATGCACTACTGTTGCATTAAACAGACATGTACATGTACAGTTACCAGAACACAGTTACCCTCTCCATCGACCGTATACATCCATCAAGCCCTATGTACATGTACATGTATGTACGTGTGTGCAGTACATGTAGATCAACATGTACATGTACATGTACCGTACCTGTATGGTAACTCAGTTTTGCTACCCAGATAATCCATTTAATCTTGACAATCTGTGCCTGAACCCAATGGCACATTCCCTGTACCTGGGTTAATTTTGTCAGTAGGTGGTGTGACTGTTGATAGAGTTCAACCAGTACATATACATGTAGCATGTAACTTAGAATTAAGTGTGCTGTCTTCCACATGCAGATTCAAAACGGCTTACCAGCTTTACAGATTTACAAGAGTGGAACGCTGATTGGAAACTTTGTCAGGTTATCGGACCAACTTGGGGAAGACTTCTATGCTGGTGACCTGGAGACTTTTTTGCAAGAGTGAGTATTGTTTTAGATATCATGGAAATTAGGAAATATTCCCTTCTCCCCCCCCCAAAAAAAAGTGACCCCTACCCTGCAACATGCATCATTACGCTGATGTTTGGGGGGCCCAAAACCTTCTGAGGACAGAAATATCCCCACAATTCGGTCCCAGTTTGTCTAACAAAAGCAATTGCCCCTTCAGCGTGGGGAAGGCCTGCAACTATTTTGTAATTGTAGGGACTACGAGTGTGTTGAAAACAGATGTTACTGAGACAAAAATTTGTCCCGAGAACTCAGTTTTTAATTTCCTAACAAAAGAAATTGTTTCCTCAGTACAGCAACAGCCTGAGCACATTTCACGTCTCAGCCTCTCTGTACATGCACTGTACATGTACATGTATAAAGATTTTTTTTTCACTCTTGGCAGATGTGCGGTTCAGTTTTGATCCTGTTCCCAAATGTTTGCACCTGCCTAATTTCAATAATATCTGGCAGACTCACAAAAGATGTCCAAAGATCACCCTGTGTAGCCCGCAACCACCGCCCGAGACCACCACCCACACATCTTTATCGCCGCTGTCCTCAAGGTGACAATAAATCTCACCTCTCAAAAGAAAAATTGCAAATCCTTGAAGAACGAAGAGTGCTATTAGTGGCAATTTTTCACATGGGGGCCCCTTCAGAATTGCCCGGCGACAAGCCCACCGGCAAAAGAGGTTTTTACCACGCATTGCAATTGGGGCAATTAAAAAGTCGTCATTTCTGGTTGAAGTGCACTGTGTGCTTAGTGCGGAATTGGAAAGCTCGGAATTTGAAAACATGACATTCCGTTCAGGATTGCAGGCTTGCAACTTTTCGTCAGATCCACCGTGTTCTCACTTATGTTTTCCCATGTCGATCATTCAAAATTGGAAAACACTGTGTCTCCTTCAGCTCAGGATTGGTTGCGCGACTTGAAATGGCAGCATGTGAAGCCCAATGGAATACACTATACCGGTACCCGGCCATGCACATACATGTGCTGTCAAGCTGTTGGGACAGAGAAATGCCCTCACAACTCGTTCCTCATTGCCTAACAAAAGAAACTGCCCTCTTTAGCCTTGAATGCCTGCTCACATGTGCCACATGCATGTACATGTTTGCCAAAAGAAATTCAAGGAATCAAACTGAAGTTTCTCTGGACTTGGAAGATTTAAAGGCTCTTTCTGCATGCATGCCATAAGCCAAGCGAAACTGTGTGTAGGCATTTGGTGCATGGCCAGTCCAGCTACATGTGTACAGGTGGCATTTATGGCGTTTTGTTATAGCAGCATCACAGCAGCCAAAAAGGCTGAATTTGAACAGGATTTTCACAAGATACATGACAAAACAAGCAAAAGTTTAAATTAGTATAAAGTAAATAAACCAAATACAATGTAATAGCAAAGACATTGGCCTATACTGTACAAACACGAAAACCTTTGTTTGAAACCATGAAACAAGTGCGCCCTACCTCCCCTCCCCCTGCTCACGATTTTCACAAAATACATTACGAGAGAGCACCAATATAAATTAATATAAATAAATCAGATATAATTCAAAGACATATACTGTACAAGCAGAAAAAAAAACAAGTGCATGCCCCTCCCCTATGCAGGAATTTTCACTTGATATATTACAAAACAGGCAAAAATTTAAAATAATCGTAAAGTATAAAATAAACCAATTATACTTACAAAAACATATATATATATGTACACATGGACAAGTGCCACCATTTAAAATTGTCCAGCCCCCTCAAGAGGTCATTGTTACAATGTAGGTAAGTCAGTCTAAGACAGGATGAGTACATGTATATAAAATATATATTTTAGTACTATACTAAAAGTACTAGTATACAGGTATATGTACATGTACATGTGTATACATGTATCTGATCAGCAGAGAAGCACAAAGAGACGCCACCAATTGATTAGAAGGTGAACAATTTTGATTGCTTCTTGAACTCATTCACATTACAGCCTGAACAATGGGACCTGCTTGGTTTCTTGTTTGATGCCTTATCACGTCACCCTACAAGCTACCTGTATACTACTAGCCAGGAATTTGGAAATTTTAAAAATACATACATGTATATACATGTACATGTATTATACACATGTACATGTACGTACTTCAGAAATTCTAGATACAGTACAAAGAAGAACCTAATTTGCAAATGCATGCTGTATTCAGCTGCTACAGACTTGTCAAGTGCAAAGACGAATGCAGCTGAAAACATGATCGGCATTTAGGGGAAAGAATTCTTTTTCTCTCTGCATTGCAGGGGTAATGTTGAAGAGCACACAGTACATTTACCGTAGCTACACTCAGGAAAGTTTTGAATGTCTAGAATGAGAACAAGATGGCAACAACTTTTCATGAACTGTAATTGAAAATGACAAATTAAACAGACTGATAGTGGAGATGTTTCACCTGCCCCATCCCAGCGGTAATAATGTGCTCATGTGCTGGTGTCGACATCCACGATAAGAAAGTTATTACCGATAGCTCCTCGTTATCCAATATCTACACGTACGCGCTGCCCTGGAATACCCATCCAGGAACTGACAGGCTCGCATGCAGTACACAGCTACATAGTAGGGCAACCTTTGGCATTTCAGCAACTGGAGTATCCAGGATTGTAGTGCTCTTTCTATTTCTAATCAATTTAGCAAAATGGGGCTTAGAAGGAGACAGAATGGCCAGGGTTAAAATAAGAGAGGGGTTTAAGGTTCTCTGCCGCATCAGGCATTCTAAGGGGATTTGCCAAGGTGCATGTATCACTGTGTCTTGAGTAAAGTGCCACTACCAGGGTTCAAGAGAATCAGAGTGCAATCAATGAACAGAAGTCGCTCAGAACTTTTTGATGGGTAATTTTTGATGTGGAGATGATGACAGTGTGCATGGAAATACATGTCCCTATGGTGCTGCACATCCACGCAGGCATGTGACTGCTCATCTGGCATTCTCCACACCATTAATTTGGTGAGAGGTAAATCATTCAGCTTCTTTGGGAATTCTGCTGGGAATGCTTATGTGTAATAACCTTGTGCAGACTACAAGTACATGTACATTGTACATGTACATGTTTCATCAAGCTGCTCTTCCTACTTTCATACAGGTAGTGCACCTGTCTGGATGTTATTGTAATGTGGCTTGCTTGAGGACACAATCAACAAATGTAGATACTGTTCTCCAGACACACCGGTATCAGTGCATATACCGGTACATATTTATTCAGATACATTGTAGGCCAGAATCTGCATTGCAGATTGATTGACTATAACAACCAGATTGGAGACAAATGTTCTACATGTAAATCTTCTGGTTTTTAGGGTCCAGAATTGAGCCAAATAAGCACATGCAGTAAGAGTGCCTGATTTTCCATTTTTTTTTATGTTTGGCCCAAACTTTATGTTCTTGAATTACGGAACCCGAAAGCATAGACCTTTAAACTAATAGATTCATATTTATGCACAGATGCGCACAAATGGCCTTGGCGCAAGAGCCGTTGAAAATTTAAAGGGGTGCGATTTTGATCATTTTTCTCTCAGGTTTTTTGGCTATAGAGTTGTTCAGGGTTTTATTCACAAAATCCCATTAAATCGTTTTTGCTAAATCAGTTTCTAATCTGAGGGGGATTTTTCCCACATAATCTCATGTGCGCAGGAAACATCATGATTGTAAAGTCTATTTTTTACAGAGCACTAAAAATCCTGCCTACATTAGACACCAGTAGGATTTTCTGAAGAAAAAACTAAACAAAGTCAGAAAACCTGAGAGAAAATAATCAAAATTGCACCCCTGTACATTTTCAACGGCCCTTGCCACCAAGGCCATTTGTGCGCATGCATGCATAATTATGAATTTATGAGTGAAAAGGTCTATAAGAAAAAACAAACATTGTATACATGTATGTACATCTATGGGTATACATGTGTACATGTAAAACATTTACATGTCCATGTACCTGTAACCTTTAAGATTGCCAAAAATAAGGAAATCAAAAAATGCCAGAGATGGTGGCTACCATTTGTATCCTTAAATTTATACAGTGTACCAGTACATTTAGATCTGTGTTCAAACTTGTAAATTTGAATAATTTATGCATGGCATAATTGCTCACAAAATGTAAAACTGGGTATCTCTGAAAAAAGTTGAGATGTATGGAATGTTCACCTCTACATGTGCACGTACATGCAACATGTACATAGTGCGTTTGATAACCACATGTACATGTACAATACTTGTATGCTTTGTGTGTATATACTGTATCTCCGTCACACATTTGAGCCTGCAGGGTTTAAATTGGTAGAATTTTTGCTCGTTACAGACAAATGTACCCAGATGCTTATCATACTTATGGGATTCTAACCCATCTTTATCTCCACATTACCAGGATGCCACAGTTACTCGTATCTGATCGATATGTAAATAAATCTACAAATCATCTCTCGTTATCATTGATTTAAGCTCGCAAAGTATCCCACACATACCAGAAGCACAGGTCAGTTTAGCATATGCTGTGAGGTTTTAGCTGTTTCTTTCTGCACTTACATGTATAATCAAATCAGTGCACAAAGAGAAATTGCAGAAAATGGAGAGCATACCAGTATTTAGAGATGCTTGGTGATGGGCAAACAGATCCATCCGTTCTGTTTTTTGCATCAAGTTTAAGCTGATGTGTGCATGCTCCAAACAATGCAAAAAGTTGCCTGACCAGTTGCATATACATGTACATGTACGTGGGACTGATCACTCTACATGTATTTGTTGTCATAAAAGTCTTCCATTTTGATTAGTGCTGATATTTTCACTTCTTCACTGTTACATTTTGTCGAGACGTTCTGCTAAATTCAACAGAATTTAGTAGTGGCATAATGGGGGAGTGGATACATTTTGGTATGTACTGGTATATGTTCCCCCCATCTCCTGGTCAATAAATCCTGGGTGCCCTGGCATGTATGCCTGGTGACAGTGTAGATCTATGGAAG